AAATTTTAAAAATCCACATTTTTGCCCAACAGAACCTTCTGTATCACTGGGAAATATCTGAAATCCTCAACAATTTTTATCTTTATGGTGACATTTTCAGTCTTCCAATCTTTGGACATTCTGAGAACTTTGTTGGTTTGGGTCCTCTAACAAACTTACATGAATAATTAGTCTATTAACTAATAAAGTTGTAATTGGAACCCACCCTTCTCTCTCATTCAGCTGTGTCTGCAATCACTTAGCTCAAGTCTAGGGCTAACATGAAAAGCAGATACAAGCAGGAAGGAATTCCTGTCTTAATATTACTGCTAATAATCACTGTTCTGGTGTCTAGGCCAAGAGAATAAGATCCAGCCAGTCACTTTATCTGTCCATCAACCTATCCATCCTCTCACCCATCTGTCCTTCTCTCCATCCACTTGACTGCCACAACGGAGATTCAAATGGAGAGAAAGTGTGGTTCAGACCCTTGAAAACCTCACATAAAAGTTTGCCACTATTCTCCAGCTCAACAACTGGTCCTTACCATCAGAATGTTCTCAGTGAGGTATCACACTCTGTGTTAGTCACTGTCTTATGCTCAGCCATGATTAAGACCCAGGGAACAAGAATCTATTTTGCATCCCTGTGGGTGGCACATACCAAATGCAAAATAAACACCATTAACTAAGTAGATAAATGTGCAATGCACAATATACAAGACACAATAAAGAAAGAGAGAGGTGAAACATCTATTCCTTGGAGTACATAATGAGTCTCCATGACTTAGTGTTTATGGGAGCATAGAACCCAAATGCTTGCATTTAGATGGTGCTAGGCAGTACAAAGTTGTAGCTCAAAGCCAGGGGATTATACTGTCTTGGGTGGGTCTTTCAGCTCTGAGAGCCTGCCCACTCACAAATAAACTGGAAAAGGGATTTTAGACAACATGCTCCAATTCCTTCCATCAGGGAGTCTCTACAAAATTAACATTGCTGTGCTACATACTCAAATTAGACCTTTACAGGGTCATGAGCGGAGCCAAGCTCCCAGGCTTACCTTCCTAAACAGTGCAAAAAAGACCATGGCTTGGGTCTTATCATAGTGATGACATTTCTTATCTTTGAGGATAGGAGTATGGAAAGGTATTAGATGCTTTCAAGTTTAAACTCCTAAGTCTAAACTTTCATTAGTTTAAGTTTTAAAAAAAAAAATGGCTAAGGTTAAATTTAGTCACAGCAAATACATGTCATAAACTTTTTTAAAAGAGCCCGAATTTAAAATATTTTGTGTCAATCTTCATCCAGCCAATATTTAATAAGCCCTAGTACGCGTGCCAGGCAGTACTTAGGGAGTAAACCAGGTAAAACACAGCCACTTCTAACCCAAAACAGTTGATCCAGTAGAGAGGACAGAAAATATACAAGTAAATGAACAAATGAAGATGACTTCAAATGAGGTTAGGAGCACAGACTATTCAATAAACAGCTCTATGTGAAAAAACACAATTATGGCAGGCTCTTCTTTGGATGGCTTCTCCTTGGAGGTGATATTTCCCTTGGGATCTTAAAGTTCTTCGGCAAAACAAAGTATGGGAAAGAATATTCTAGGTGAAGGGAATAGCAAGGGCAAAGGCCCCATAGCTGCAAACAAGCTTGAGGGATTCACAGGACAACAAAGTGTCCAGAACATCTGTAAATGGAGGAGGCAGTGACTCAAGGACAATGAGGGTGGCCTGCAGAAGGCAAGGTAGAGACAGTGCTGCCAAGAGTCTGTGGACTCCTATGGAAGAAGGTATCACCTAGCCTTTCACCAAAGGCTACCTAGAAATTCACAATTTATTGGATTACAAAGGTAGACAATGCCCACAATGATATCAGCAGTGCCGGGGACTTGTTATCAGTAGAAACTGCACATTCACTTGTATCGTAGTTGCTGCAAATATCCAAAAATAATACTTATGCTCATCACAGATGTAAAATCACAATAGCTACTGACCAGCTGTTAGATCTCATTATTTCAAATATTAACAAAAAAAGAACATACATTTCTATATTTTACATTTTAAAGGTATTTGATACCTTTAAAGGTAATTAATTTGAAAGGAATCAATTTCCTTGGTAACTCTGTGCATTCCATTTTGCATATGCAAAAAGTATTATTCTGAAAGGGGGTCCTTAGGCTTCACTCCAGCCAAAGCTTTTTGTCACCTATGACCTACAACCCACAGGTCAGGGTTAGAGGTTCATTCCAAGCAAGGTAAAAAAGTGAGTGTGGGGTGGGGATGCAACAGAGGAATAATTGTCATTTTCTTAAGTCATCTGGGGGTCTGGGCAGAGAGGATTTGTGGCTGCCCAAAGCAATGCTCAAGGCAGGAGAAGGCTGTGGCTTTCAGTGACCACTGTTCTAGATGATTCTAAGAAGAGTCTCAGGGTCTTTGTGAACTTGGCTCCTCTCCCTGATGTACACAGCCTTTCTCCTACACCACCCCACACTGCCCAGTGGGCCCTTTTCAGAGCCTGTCCCGGGACATCTTCCCAGGGAGCTTCAGAAAATGAGCTCATGTGTCCACAAGAAAAACAAACTTGGTGTTTGCCACTGTTTGGTTTGTGTATTGGTCTAGAAAAGAAATGGGATTTTTATGTAAGAAAACCTTCCAGCAGGACCCCAGCAGTGGCTGGGCAAACACCACGGCGACAGACTATAAACAGGCAAGAAGGCCCAACCCCTGGCCCAGGCCCATATGCGGCAGCCCCTCAGCTTACATCAGCCTTCCTGTTTTTTCCAGCCTCTTCCACTCTGCATCAACACACAGAGGCTTTTCAACACCCTCTCAGAGAACTGAAACATCATTCTCCCACGGCAGGCCCC